CTGGTGGTTAGACGAATATATTGATCCATAAAGCGGAACAGAAGTATTATTTCAACAAGTTCAACTTTACAGGTTCAATCATGCACTGTAAATCTGTAATGGCAACGTGTCTGTATATTTATTACTACCATAGATCGCATAGCTGGATTCAAGCATGTTTCGTCAGGTTAACATTTATTAAAGGTCAAGTGCTCTAGAGAACTTAATCGGATTTGGTTTTGATTTTTGCGCGCATACCACAGACGTAAATCCCCACAGAAACGGCTAGAACGAAGGAACAATTGCTATGGCTACTAATAAAATGTCACTACTGTATTCATGCCTATATTCAGCAGTTTTACCTAGCATAATGTAGGCTATACAACTATTAAACTACAGTAATGTTCATCCTCTGGCCCTGGGCGGAACCGTGGCTATGACACACCAGTCACTGAAAATAGATAGTATACATTATACAATGACCTAATGTGACTAATTTTAGACTTTTAGATAGACATAAAAGTGCGCGATTTTTTTACAATCATTAAAAAATTGTTGATTTTACGACGTTCGGTGCGAGGAATGCAATAAGGAAATCGACAGTGATTATAAAGAGGTGCATTCTCGATTGGTTCACATTTCACAATGGTAAAAAAGTAAAATGTCATCCAGTGATGGAATCACCGGATTCATCCCAGTCGAAAATCAATACTTTCTTTGTAAAAAGTAACATGACAACAAGGACAATGACCTGCAGTATGACCTAACCCTACTTGGAACTGAATCGAGTGGTAGTAAAGATTCTGCAGTCACGGTGACATTCTTTTGATGAAGATCTATCTGAGAAAAATGTGAAGGAACCCATGAGCGAAAACCAAACGGAACCAATGACAACGTTCATTGATGTTGATGAATTAAATTCACTGTCACAGCTTAGAGAAAATAGTGAACAGAATACGGTGACGGACAGTGAAAATGTTGCACCATCTTTAGGTCGAAACGCGGACAGGGTTGCCTTCCTCCTCAACTTTAATCTCTCGCTCCTTATCCTCGCCTTTTATCGTGTCCCATAAAATTGCCACCTATTTTAGTTTCTATATAATTTCCGTAATTTCCCTAGGTTTTTACGTACATGTTCATCACAGGAGTCGGAGTTAAGAAATTAAGAACAACAATTGTTGGAATACTGGTCCTCTCATTATTTAGGCTACACAATGTCTTGCACAAGTACTTGTCCAATTACCCATTTTATACCAAAAAATGTTGTTACGTTAGTAACTTTCTCTTTCTTTGTAAATCGTAATGCCATATATTTAGCTTATAATTGAAATGGCTAGGGACAACATATTTATTTTTATATCAATCTTCAAAGACTTTAAAGGAAATCCTTTCATTTGTAGTCTTCTTAGATTATATAATTTTATGATGACGTCACGAAATCTATGACGTCATGTCATTCGGGCAAATTCAGCCCAGTCCCCCCAAAAATAATGTGCCCGTACGCCTATGTGTAAATATATAGCGTCAATTTTAAGGCATCATTGATAATTTATTTTAATTGGTAATTTTTAACTATTATTTTATGTTTCTCAACCGGCAGACGCATTTAAAAAGGTAGCTAACTCTATAAACTGTAGAGAATAAAGCTAAAACAAAGTAATTTTGAGAGGAACGCCAAAAAGATTTTAGGTTTTGAACACTTTTC